AAGTTAGCCAAATCATCATGTTTCTGAATAACTGACTACAGAATGTGAACTTTATTGTGGTCTGCAACTAAAAGTTAACTATTTAAGGAGGGTGTCTATAGGAACTCAGTACCTGTGTGTCAAGAGATAGGCTGAATACTTGGAAAATCTTGCAATGCTATAAGTCTAAAGGTCAACTTGCAAATTTCCTCCCACATGTGGTACTTATTTCATTTTGGAGGTTGATAAAGCTTTTCTTCTTTCTGTAATCATGAGTTCCTCCAAATGTAAAGAAAACAACAAATAGACAAAGATAAAAGCCATACTTTTGAAGATTTATTCTCTAGAATTAGATGGCCAACATAGACATCTCTATTTAGAATTAAATCTTACCTTCCCAAGCTGTTGATTTGAGTTACGTGGGTTCACATTACTAGATGACTTTTGTGGGTGTCCTCTAGTAAGAGATGTAAATTTTTTTTTAGGAGATCGCAGCAATCAGGTGTTTTGCTGGATCAGAAAATGTTTTCCCTCCGGTTGGAAAGAAAGTGCTCTCTGATTGTGGGGTCCTCGAGCCAGCCAAGCATGGATTTGATATCTATATGGATGATCCTGAGCAGGGGGACAGAGAAAGCTGCCCAGGGAGAGAGGGGATGGCATTTGATGATGTGTATGAAGTAGATACCAGTACACTCAAGTCAAACCTTCACTTCCTGCTAGATTTCAACACAGGTAATATGACTGATGGTGCCCTGTATTCATAGCCATCTGCCGTGTTTCAGTAGCAAGGAACCAGGAAGAGAAAAGTATAAAGTGATGACTATTTTCACAGTGACCTATGGAGGGTGAGTGACTGTAATGAGTGGCTATATTAAGTAGCTTATCTGACGATGTTGAACCTCTACAGTTTCCCCTATGCTGGTAGATTCATCTGCCCATTCCCAGCCTGAAGAAGCATCAGAGTTTGGCACAGATGTGATAAATGTGACTGAATATGCTGAAGAAATTCATCAATACCTTAGAGAAGCTGAAGTGAGTTTTCCCCAACTTCTACTTTAATCCCCAGGACCCTAAGCTCTTAATATTAAGTTACAAGTTTTTGGCCATAATGGCATTATTATGCATCTAAACATAAGAAATCTATGGAAAATAATACAAGTTGAGCATCCTTAATCTCACAATCCTAAATCTGAACTGCTCCAAAATTTGGAATGTTTTAAGAATTGATAAGATGACACACAACGGAAAATTCCATATTATGAAATTTTGTTTCATGCACAAAAATATTAAGAGTATTATATAAAATTATATAATATGCACAAGACTTACATGAAATATAGATGGATTTAGTATTTAAGCTTGGGTCACATCCCCAAGATAACTCATTATATATATGCAGACATCTCTGAATTGAAATAAGATCTGAAATGCTTCTGGTCCCAAGCATTTTAGATAAGAGAACTTGACCTGTAGTTGTGATGGTGAGTAATAATTACATGGATGATTTCTGTATGACTTAAGCACAAATTGCCATTTTCTTTCTCCCTGAAATTGTTACGTCATTACATGACAGAACCAGAATTTCATACTTTCCTCCTTATCATGATAAAGATTTATTTGTCTCTGAATCAGTATTTTCCTAACCTTCACTATTTTCCTCATCTTCACATATGAGATTTTTTTTTTAAAGAAGCAGAAATATTGGGGAGTTATCTTTCTGCTGTTGAAAATATTTAAAGATCCAAACTCCTTTTCCCAAACAGGTAAGATACAGACCCAAAGCACACTACATGAGGAAACAGCCAGACATCACCGAGGGCATGCGTACGATTCTGGTGGACTGGCTGGTGGAGGTTGGAGAGGAATATAAACTTCGAGCAGAGACTCTATACCTGGCTGTCAACTTCCTGGACAGGTTTCTTTCCTGCATGTCTGTTCTGAGAGGGAAATTGCAGCTTGTTGGAACAGCAGCTATTCTTCTGGCTTCGTAAGTGTTCTTTCAGGTTGAATCATGTGAAACTAACTCCTGTCAAAACACTCAACTTTTTTCTCCATTTATTGAAGAAGTGTAGTGCTTAATAATTAAAACTATTCATATCTCTTTTGATAAAAGATCATAATCTTTGCAGGATTTACTGAGAAACTGACTCTTACCTATATGGTCATTCTTCAATTCAGATGTTCAAATTTTATGGCAACAAATTCTGTGTCATGACTATATCATGAGCTTCTGCTCAAATTCAGGATTTAATTTTGCCCTGTAGTCATTTGACTGTTCTCTAATACAAGTGGAAGTCCTATTTAAGGAGAGTTTGATTGTATAAAATCTGTCTTCATGATCTAGCAAATAACCCATAATAATAGTTTATTTGGTTACAGTGAATAAAGGATTTTAGCTGTTTCTTATTCCTATCAGAGATTCATAACAATACCTAATTATGTGGGAAAAGAGAGCTAGTTGTGGCTCAGCTGGCTTTAGGTGACCTGTTGCTGAATGGTAATTTCTTTTCTATTCTTCTAGCCTCAACTATTATAGTTATTAATGTGTAAGAACTTACCAATATTCCCATAAAGAGAATCAAAACAAAAGCAGAAGGAATGAAATGATAATAGAGAATTTATATCATCACCTTTCTCTTAGCTCTTCAGCATCATTTGCTAATTTCATAGAGATAGTTGAAACATGATCTTTTTAAAAATAAAAGGCCTGTGGAATTTTTCTACCATTGTGTTCATTATATTCTTTTCCACAGAATGATTTGAAGTCTATGCAATTAATAGGAATTCACATGTGGTGTCTGTCATTCAGAATCTTTCAGTGTTTCAGAGGCAAAAGCTAAAATTCTCATTTGGAAATGGTTTCCATTACTACTCCCAGTGGTACAACATCTCCTTAGGTACTCAGGTTCTTGCTCTGGAAACAAGATCCTAATGTCTTCATATACCTGTGCCATTCCGTGAGATTTAAGTTGAAAGAGAGGTGTAAAGTGGTCTGCAGGGCCCTAATGAAAGACATGGGAAGTAGATCCATGGGTTCCAAAACTTTACTCCTAAAAATTCTGTATCTTTCCCAGAAAATATGAAGAGATATATCCACCCGAAGTGGATGAATTTGTCTATATAACTGATGATACATACACAAAACGACAACTATTAAGAATGGAACACCTGCTCCTGAAAGTCCTAGCTTTTGATCTGACAGTACCAACCACCAACCAGTTTCTCCTTCAGTACTTAAGGCGGCAGGGAGTGTGTGTCAGAACAGAGAACCTGGCCAAGGTATGCCTAATGACTTCCAGGAACTTCCAGTGCCAAGGAGGGTAAAGAGCAGCCTTTCCCAATCATCCTTCAGTTGTTCCTTTCCAGGTTTCATCTTAGGCCTAGGAAACCTTTTTAGCAAGAAAATAAAGCTAATTTTAAGAACACCATATCTGGCTCTAAGAGATTACTGTTGTGACTACATTTAACAGCTACAGATTGTCTAATCACACAACTATTAAAGAAATTTAAGCTTGGAAACTGTTCCATTGTTGGATACAGATCACATGCAAGCAATATTTCTTAATTTGAGAATAAATTAAATGTAGTTCAATTTGGTTTTAATCTCATTCTAACCTCTTAAGTTATTTGGTCATTTGGCATTATGGAAGTTTAGTTGAAGGCATTTAAGTATTGGTTTGGTCAACTTGCTCTCCAATCACTATAATCTAGAAAAATATATATGTATGTGTATATATATATATATATATATATATATATATATATATATATATGGAGTAATAAGGATGTCTACATAAATTTCCCAATATATTTCTTCTAATATGGTATGTGACCATTGGTATTTTTCTAGCCTAGGAACAGTATTCATTTGCCTGATAAATTAATAGCTTTAATATGGTCATATGTTTGCCTTTTGACTGAAGGCTCTGTTCCCATTCTAGGTGCCAGAGCAACACTATTTTATGTGACCAGCATAATCTTGCAGTACTAGTGGAAATAAAAAAAAAGTAATCTATCACATATAATATTTGGGTAGGCCAAATACTATTGGCCTACTATTTTATTACAACACAAGTGTTATTTTGGCTAAGGACAGTCATGCAAATTATTAACCTCGTGAATAATTTTGATTATGTCTATGCTCTACCAGATATTAGTTGAACAGAGATAAGGTAGTTTATCACTTTAACATTTCTAGTTTTACTTTACGACTTTAATCAAATTTCACCTTGGTCAAAATTTTAACTCCAATGAGATTTTTCTGTCTTGTACTTAGTATGTAGCAGAACTGAGTCTACTTGAAGCTGACCCATTCTTGAAATATCTTCCTTCATTGATAGCTGCAGCAGCTTATTGCCTGGCAAACTATATTGTGAACAAGCACTTTTGGGTAAGGTTCTTTCCTCTTCTTTCTAGACTAAATTCACAACCAGTGCAAAATCTGTTCAGTAACTTTCAAGGGTTAGAATGGGCTTTCCTCTTATGGGGCAAGTTAGTTTCATAAGGAACTGGTTGTCTTGACAGCAGACCACAGCTTGCTGCTGAGTCTTACAGATTATCTGTCATGGCTTTGATTTAATGGTGTTATTCTGTGGGGAGCAAAGATGGCAGAAAGTCAAGGAGATATCATGGCAGGCTCATTCCACATAATCAGATCTGGGAACCCCAGTACCTACTGCTACACATGGAGGGCCCCTAAGATGTAGTCATTAATTACTTTAAGCAAAAGTTGTGGACCTTCCCCTCTATAAAAAACAAAAACAAAAACATCAGAAGTCAACTTGAGCCCAATAAGGATAGCCAGAAGACTAGGCTAGGCCTTCAAGAGAACAGGGCAGTGCAGTTAGTATTGTTTCTTGCCTGAAAAGGTGGCAAGATCAAAAACAGGATCCTAGTTTTCTTCTGAAAACTCACTGTGGTGTTAAAATAAGTGGGGAATCTACCTTTATTTTCTAGAATACTTATTTCTTATTCTGTATTTTGGTTAATAATCTTTTTATATTTTATATGAATTTTAAGAACCAATAAAGATCTCACTCATAAAGGAACAAAGAAAGTGATCTGTCCCCAAATTGAGAATTACAAATATACAATATGAGGAGACTTAGAAATTTGGAACACTGGCAGTTCTTGTTAATATTTCATATCTAAAGTCTCTGAGGGAGGTAGTTATAGATACTTCAGAGATGAATAAGGATAGTTACTAAAGAATTAATTCCCTTTACTTCACAATCATTTATCTTTAAACTTCTAATATCATATAAGGTTGTGTGAAGCAATTTTTTTTCTTTTGTCTTGATCAGCCAGAAACCCTTGCTGCATTTACAGGCTATTCACTAAGTGAAATTGTGCCTTGCCTGAGTGAGCTACATAAAGCGTACCTTGCTATACCCCGACGACCTCAGCAAGCAATTAGGGAGAAGTATAAGGCTTCAAAGTAAGTCAGGGTGTTTTCTTATCTTGGCTGTCTATTTGAAGGTTAACTGATTATTGTAGTATCAGAAATAGACTAAATTATATATCTGATGCTAGGTTGGAAAAGTAAGATTTCAGGTTTAATCAAGAAAACAAATTTGGAAAAGCCTAGATTTATAATTTGTCAGCTTCTAGTGCTTACACACAGCCAGCTTCTTTCCAATGTGTTAAAACTATTAGAGGGTTTTCTGTAGCCTTCTTGAGATTTTATAAGACTAACGTCCTTGGCTTGGGCTGACCTTGCTGTGGATCTCATTTCAGGTACCTGCACGTGTCCCTCATGGAACCACCTGCAATTCTTCCTCTGCAATCAGTGTCGGAACCGAAGCACTTCTGAGCTGAAGCACCAATCTGCAGACTTGTTCTTGATTTTCATTGGTTTATGCAGGCTGGGTCAACTAACTGGGTTAATATAGATGACTTTTCAAAATGTAGCTGTGTTAGATTCTCTTAGACTTTAGACTTTAGTAGCTTATAATATATTCTAGCAGTTTTAAAGAATAAACAACTTGTCTTATGACACCCCGTGTTAGGCTTATTTACTAGTCAGTATGACTGGCATACTCGCCTTGAATTTTAGTTGAGAGAATTGTGTCATCACTATTTGAAGCATTCTCCTGTTTGTTTTATAAATATGGCATGCTATTTGGATTAAGTGTTTTGAATCATCCAGGGATTTTCATGTTAGGTAAATGGCTTTTCCATTCTGTCTCATTCTGTTCTACAAAGCACCCTACAGATTGGCAAAGGAAGGAAGGCTTGCTTAGGCAGACTGGTAATGAGACAAGAGCAAGCACTGTGTATTCCATCTTCCCTCAACAAACTTAGTAAGACAGTGGGCTGAGGCATTTCATTCTAATTCAGAGATGTCGTGCTCATTTATAAAGGGATGCCATCGTGTCTATAGTCAGCTTGGATTTAGGTACTCATCAAGAATGTATTAAAATCTTAGAAGATGCTTTGGGAGGTAGAAAAAGCAAACTTTACCATAGAATGAGACTTGAGAATAATGTACCCAACTCCTTTAGTATGTTCCTTGGGAGGAGCTATCCATCCTAAGCTTTGCTATAACTTAATGTGTTAGTCAGCTATAGGTCACTGTGACCAAATGCATGAGAAAAACAACTTAAGAGAAGAAAGAATTATTTTAGCTCATGTTTTCAGTCTATCTTGGTAGGGAGGGTGTGGCAGAGTAGAGCAGCTCAAACCATGGCAACCAAGAAGCAGAGAGAATGCCTGCATATCTGGCTCCCTCCTTTTCTTCCTTTTATTCCATCTAGGCCTCCGGTCTATGGAATGGTGCTGCCTATATTCAGGGTGGTCTTTCCCCTTTAGTTAATCCTCTCTGGATATGTACCCACAGATACACCCAGAAGTGTGTCTAATCTCCTAGGCACCTCTTAATCTAATGAAACTGACAATCAGGATTAACCATATTGTTCATGATTCTATAATTCACTTAATTACACATTTCTACATGGCACTTTTCAACAGCACTTACGTAGGATACAAGATAGAAAAAATTGAAAGCAAAACAAAATTGTTTTTATTTTCTTTTAAAGATTGGAAGAAAAAAGATTCAATTTGTCTTTGAGTATAGGTAGTACTTACTGTATATTGAATATGAGCTTTGGATTTGTGCTGTTGCTGATACCCTGGGCCAGCAGGTCGGGTGGCACATGAGTCTTCTGGGCTGTGTGTGCTTCTGTCTCTGGGCCAGCTCCAGTGCTCCATCCAGATGGCTCTGTGGAGGCAAAAAGAATAGGAAATACATGTTTTACAGATTCTCTTTGTGGAAAAGATTTCTCTTTAATGGAAAAGATTAGGCTCAGGTATGTTTTTGGAAAAATGAAGAGTAGATAAAATTTGCTCCAAATTTTATATTTGCTTCAAGCACTAATGAAATTATTAATATAAAATATAGCCATATTTTACGTAATTTGTGAAGATTTTTTTTGTAGTATTGGGGACTGAACCCAGCACCTCATTCTTGTTAGGCAAGTGCTCTGCCACCTAAGCTATGCCCCACTCCTTTTGTTTTTAAGATAGTGTATTGCTAACTTTGCTGGGCTAGCCTCAAACTCACCATCCTTCTTGAATAGGTAGGATGACAAATGTATACCACCATGCTCAGATTGCAAAGACCTTATTAAAGTACCTACAAGCTTTTATTTTTAGCTATTAAATATTTTATTGACTTCAAGCCATTGTCAATTGTAAGGTACTCTGCCATTTCATTTTTCACTTATTTTCAAGAAAAGCCAGTTACGTTATGATGCAGCAACAATTTAAAGCAGTATTCTTACTTGTGAAATAGCAAAATCTGAAAAAAATTTCCTTGAAATGTAACCCCTGTTATATTCTCTCTCAGTGCGTTTGTCTAAGAAACAGCATTGCTAGAAAACAATTGTACACGGTTATAAATGATTTCCACAAAGACATAGAAGCCATTAGTGAATCTTACATGACTAAACGGAAAATAGTTTACCCAGTATGTGTTAGACGTTCTTAGCAAATAGTGGTCACCCTGTGGGAGAATTCTTATTTATTTATTTATTTATTTATTTATTTATTATTCATATGTGCATACAAGGCTTGGGTCATTTCTCCCCCCTACCCCCACTCCCTCCCTTACCACCCACCCCGCCCCCTCCCTCTCCCCCCCACCCCCTCAATACCCGGCAGAAACTATTTTGCCCTTATCTCTAATTTTGTTGAAGGGAGAGTATAAGCAATAATAGGAAGGAACAAGGGTTTTTGCTAGTTGAGATAAGGATAGCTATACAGGGAGTTGACTCACATTAATTTCCTGTGCATGTGTGTTACTTTCTAAATTAATTCTTCTTGATCTAACCTTTTCTCTAGTTCTTGAACAAGCTCTGTTTCTAACTTCCCCTTAGGTTATTTCACAATTTTGGTGGGGACTTATGAACTGGTTAACATCAAAAGAGACTGTTAAAAGGCAAACAAGTTAGCCCACTCTAGGGCCCTGATAATTCAATTTTCTTATCTAACATTCTTCAAGGCATGTGAATGTCATTCCCAGGACAGGACATGTATCTGTCACAGTTTTCACAATGAGAATTGGTGTTTTTTATACCTTACCATGTTAACTAGACATAGTTTTTTAAAATTATTTTTGTGCTGGGTGGGGGTACATAGGAGTATTCCTGTTCCAGGAATTAGGGGAAGGGGGGATGAAGAGATCAGTGGAGTGGGTGAATTAAAGTATTTGATATATATCCTTGCACCTTCACCAACATTTGCTGCTGTTGGTGTTCTTGATGATAGTTATTCTAACAGGAGTGAGGTGGCATCTTAGTGTAGTTTTGATTTGCTTTATGGCCAGGGATGATGAGCATTGTTTCATGTATTTTTTAGCCATTTGGACTGCTGCCTTTGAAAAAGTTCTGTTTTGTTCAATTGACCATTTCTTTATTGGGTCATTGATTTTTTTGGGGAGTTTTGTTTTTTGAACTCCCTGTATGTTCTGGCTATCAGTCCCTTGTCTGATATTACAGCTAGCAAAGATTTTCTCCCATTCTGTGGGTAGTCTCTTCAATTTACAGACCATTTCTTTTGTTGTGCAAAAGCTTTTTAATTTCATGTGATCCCACTTGCCAATCCTTTCTTTTGGTTGCTGAGCCACTTGAGTTCTACTGAGGAAGTCCTTGCCTATGCCTATTGCTTCCAGTGTACTCCCTGCTCTTTCCTGTACTGACTTCAAGGTTTCAGGTCTGATATTAAGGTCCTTAATCCACTCTGAGTTGATACTAGTATAGGATGACAGGCATGGATCTAGTTTAAGTTTTGTGCAGGCAGATAACCACTTTTCCCAGCAACATTTGTTGTCTTTTCTCCATTGTATGTTTTTGGCACCTTTGTCAGAAATTAGGTGAGAATAGCTGTGTAGATTCGTATCCAGGTTCTCTATTCTATTCCACAGGTCTTCATGTCTGTTTTTGTGCCAGTATCATATTTTTTTATTGCCATGGCTCTACAGTATAGTTTGAAGTCAGGTATTGTGATACCCCCAGTGTTGCTCTTTTTGCTCAGTATTACCTTGGCTATTTGTGGTCTTTTGGGTTTCCAAATGAGATTTAGGTTAGATTTTTCAATGTCTGTGAAGAATGTCATTGGAATTTTGATAGGAATTGTATTGAACATGTAGATTGCTTTTGGTAGTATAGCCATTTTTACTATGTTGATTTTGCTAATCCATGAGATGGGAGATCTTTCCACCTTCTGTAATCTTCTTTGATTTTCTTCATTTCCCTCTGAATCCTGTATTAAATTATTTAATTTAATAATTTAACCCTGTATTTAAATTATTTTTGGGAAGAGAATGCTTTCCATCCCTTTTTCTTCTTCCCATCACTCCACTTGGTACTGTGCAACTACGTTCTTGATAGGCTAGTTGGTGATTTCAGCCACCTGTTTTCTTTCCCTTGATTTAATTTTGTTTTGTGGCTCTATTGGGTTTTTAGCTAAGTGTGTGTGTGCTATTTCTGTCCCTGATCTGGGTGTAATTTAGTGTTAACTAATTCACAATAATAAAACTTACAACAACAACAACAAACCAAAGAAATGGAGAGATGAACAAACATACATAACCAAACAAGAAACCAACCAACCAACAAACCAACCAAACAAAAAACCTCCAGGTTCAGGAACAATAGAATTTCAGGTTTAAGTTCTGGTGTTACTCCTCCAGCATCCAGTCCTGGTGTTGTTATTTAAGTAGAAGCTCTGTTGTAGTTTTGCCACGTGGTTGGGTAGCATTTTTTTTTTCCTTCTGTCTTTCAGCAGAAGCTGCTTGGTCAGCTTCTCCCTCAGTGGGGTGTGGCAGTTTAAGTTTGTATGTTGTTCTCAGGGTCCAGAATCATGTCTGTAGCCCACCAGCTGTCCTGCTTTGGAGTTGGGTTTTTGCTGTGTTGGTTTACTGGGGGCTTGTTTCTTTGCCTTGTGCCCTTTCTCTGGGGCAAGGTCAGTGACTCGTCAGCTAGCTCCCTGCTGTCAGCATGTTGTGATGGTTTGCTGATTGTTTTTCAAATTTGCAGGGCCGTTTGACTTTGGGTGTTGCTCACTGGCTCAGGAGATGAACTTTGTGGACTGGTATCTGCCCTATTTTGGGCAATGGCTTATCATTCACCCTCTGTTGGCCCTCCTGTCTTTTCAGCGTTTGCTTACTAATAGTTCTCAAGGGGATCAGCTCCTTGCCCCTCATCCCTTCTCTGGTGCACTTTCCGAGTTCCCGCCCTCTCTGCTGTGTGTTAGTTGTCAGCTCCTTGTTTATTGTTCAGTTTTTTTTTTTTTTGAGCAGGTGGGTCAGTCTGC